GCCGATTAATATTTTAGAAAGATAATAATTTTTTTTTAATGATTATTAGACACTTTATAGATAGGTGCGGTGTGATTTAATTTCAACGTTTTAGTAGTTTTGGGATCAGACAATAAATTGGGTACATTATAAAATTATGATCTTATAGATGAATAAATTAATTAGAGTTTTAAAAGGAAAACAAGAGAGATAAAGACAAAGAGCCAAAATAAGACAATGATGAGTAAGATGAAGAGAAAGTTTTGGAGAGAGACGGTGAGAGTAGAGGAAAAAAGAGTGAAAGAAATTTGAGAGAGAGGATTACTTTTAAAGTTAAAAGACGTTACTTTTATGTTTTTTTAGAAGATTTTGTTATTTTTAAAACTTTCTATAATACTTTGTATAAACTTGGAAAAATATTGTTACATTTTAAGGTTTTATATAAGGTTTTTTATTGACTTATGAAATACATTAGACTTTTAACTTGGTCTATTCAAAAACGGTCTTAGAACATAAAGCTGAACTAAGAGATGAAAATTAAATTGACGCTCTAAATTTTTGTGGCTCTAGGCAACTATTTTAATAGTAGAGCTCTAGGACCGACTCCATCATGCCTCCTCTCATTCAAAGGATCAAAATGTTTGTGAATCTTGTAAATCATAGTCTTTGATCATCCCTCACTGTCGAGTTTTCGTCTATGAAGCCGATTAAGAGAAACAAAATTGATCACTAAATAATATCCAAAAATTAAAGATAATATATGTGTTAATCCATAATTATACATTTTGTGTCGATTTGTCAAAAATTAGGTGTAAACTGTTACAAGATGGTTTTATAATAAAAATGTTCAATGTTATAACGTAGTGCTACACAATTTTTCTTTGTTGGTAATTTAGACATCTGAGATATATTAAATATTATATTTATGTTATTTCATACCTATATCATCTGTGTGCAACTATTCAATAGTACAATCCATAAGAATAATAAACATATATAGATGATTAGGACTAGATACACCATTTTTAGCAAATAAATTGGCACATTCATTTGTCCTCCTCATCTCTTGCTTGACCTACACTTTTCCAAATCTCTCAAGTAGCCTATTAGGGGTGTAAGATTTATAACGGCGACTCTAAATAATTTTTTTATTTTTTAATATTAATTTAAAAAAATTATCGCCATTTAAGATGGTGATTATTAGTCAAGTTTTGTACTAAAGTTTTATATACATTTTTTTTCAATTGATCACGTGAGTAATCTAACTAATCTTTTTAATTTTATCAGATCTATTCGTGTTCATTTGCCCAAATTTAACCTAAAATTTGGTGTTACGTTGTTTGTTACTAGTAACAAATATATTTAAGAATAATTTATTTAAAATTCAAAAGAATTTTTAAAATTTTATCTTCAAAATTTTTACTATATATATATTTGTTTTCTAATTATTATATTTAAATATAAACCAAAATTTTATAAAAAAAATATTACTATTTTAGAATTAATTTTTTTTTAAATTATAAAATGATATGACTTAATTTATTATCATGACCAACGAAATTAAAATATGATTTAAAGATTCTCTCCTAGCATCGCCTATTAAAAAGATAAAATAGGGAGAATTAATATATTAATATATTTTGGCATGCTGGAGGAATAGTTTGTATTTTTTTATCTGTTTATTTTGAGTTTTTATGTTTTTTTTTTTGGGGTCATTCACTGTTAAGATCAGCAGGGCCACATGGAGTTGATATTGATTGCTAGCAAATTCGAGCCCATGTTGGGCTGTCAAGCCCTTGTATACAAATCGAACTGAACGATCGATGGGCCTATGGTTAATGGGTCAATGAAAGCACATGTGAACAGGCTGGGGAATATCTGTTGACTTATCGACCAGAAAGTCTTTGCTATTCTATGTTATAGAGTTCTCGGCTCTCTTTCACAAGACTCCTGTAATCCACCCCCAAAAGAACTTCATTTTTAGCTAGAAGTGACTGACTTATATGGAAGCAATAAGCAAATTGATTGATTGCTCGAAATAGTCATACTTAGCTAAGGGAAGAAGCTATCAATATTCGCCGGACAGAGAAGACAAGGCTTAGGGGTGTTCAAATTTTTGATTAGGCACAATTTCTTACTCCTATTCTATCTTACTGAACGGCTAGCCGCAAAAATCAAATAGGAATACGAAAGAGTTTTAATTTTTCGATTAAATCGGGTTAGAATGTGGAATATTCATCAATTTTCGCATTCCTATCCTACCCTACCCTCATTAATTAATATATATATATATAAATAAACACTAAAAAAATCCTAATTGCTAATCAACCTTATCGTCCTCACTTCACTCCTCTCCTCTTGTCTTCATCGACTTTTATCGCTCAAGTCTTGCGTCCATAGCTCAGGATTTCATCGTTTAGTCCTGACCTCTCTAGGTACTCTTTCTCTCTCTTTCTCTGTTTGGGTGCAATCTGGTGGCCTTCATTGTTCAAGCCTTCATCTACAGATTTGATTTTTTTTTTAAAACATCAAGTTAATGAACATGAAAACCCTAGCTTTCAAGCATTGTTTAGGCCTTCTTTGTTTTTTTATTTTTTTTTTTAAACTTTCAAAACTTATCCAGTTAACATCAAACATGAAAAATCTCAAATTTCAAGTTTTAAATGAGAATCCAAAACAATTGGAGCCCGTGCCTGCGCTTTGCATTGTACCTAATGGTGTTGTCGGTCCTCATGCGAATCCAGTTAAGAATGGGTCTGTTCTGCCTTTGCTTCTTCGCTAGCTTCTTCTTGATCATGAAGGTCTTGTGTGACGGCATTTATGGTTTTAATGTGTTTCATATAGTTTAAACTTAGAATAATTGTTATTATATATATGTAACAATTATGATGGATTGATATTCATAATTTCTTATGTTTTATTGTAATTGTTATTGTAGTTGTTTTTAGGTTTTAGTGTTATTGATTTATTGTGTTGTTAAATTGGTGCATGTTATTTAATTGAATTGTTAAAATAATTCAAAAAATTAATAGTTACAAAAGTGTTTACTTGAATTTCTACCAATTTAATCGGGTAGGATGTCGGGTAGAAATACCACACTTGATCGGGTAGGGTAGACCAATAAAAAATTCTTTCGCAAATTATCAGGTAGGAAGACGAAAGACTACATTTTTCTACTAGTAGAGTAGAGTAAACACTCCTAATAAGGCTATTGCAATGGCAGCTATGGAAATTCCTCCTACCAACGAAAGCCCAAACGCCAAAGGGATGTTATCATATCCTATATCATAAGCACAATGGACGAGTACCTGCTCAAGCTTGAGTGAAAGTTCAATGAATTTGAGATAGGGGGAGGTATTTGAATTAATTTATTTATATTTTGACTAATTTTTTCTCTAATCTGGTCAAAGATAGGTCGTTCACGTCTGAAGTAGAGTATTCACGAAATATTAATTCCTAATAGCTTAGCTTCAAGGGGTTATCAAGATTCGAACTTACGATGTCTGTATTTATAATTCATTCCTATTACCACTTGAGGTATTTTTGGATTAATTGCTTGTATACTATAGTTCTCAAAATTCATCTCAAATTTTACATTTTAATGAACATAACTGAAAATTTATATTGTAACAAATATAAATGGTTAGATCAGTAGTTCATATTAAAAATTAGAGAAGTTATCCCTCCTGGATGTTTTTTGGTGACATCCTTTCCGGATTGGATATTTAAGAAACTTCCTATCCTTTTATTATGACCAATTTAATCAACATGTAATTTTCAATTTTGATTAAAGATAAATAAATAATTTCACAAACAAAATCTCCGATTGGAGTTGCCTTGTAATTTACCATGTCAAGAGGTCTTGAACCAAAATTAGTGGTCCATTGAAAATTATCGAAGAAAAAGATTAATGTGGGGTAATTTTGAAGCAAATGAAGAGCATTTCGACACTGCTCAATTGTATAATATTTTCTCCTCTATAAGAAGTAAGAAAGAACAAGTAAACAGTAAATTTTATACAATTGAGCAATGCATTGAGACTTAATTCACTATGATATTTGAATTGATTGTAGGTAGAGGTGTGGACCTTATCCTATGGATAGGAAAATATAGTTTTTCGTCTTCCTACCTGATACTTTGCAGAAGAATTTTTTTTTGGCTTATCCTATCCTACCTAATTAGGTGTGGTATTCCTACCCGATTAATCGAGTAAGAAGTCGGGTAAACACTTTTTTAATTATTAATTTTAAATCATTTTAACAATTTAATTAAATAACATACACCAATTTAATAATATAATAAATCAATAACACTAAAATTTAAAACAATTACAACTACAATTACAATAAAGCATAAGAAAAACATGAATATCAATCCATCATAATTGCTACACAAATATAATAATTATTATTTTAAGTTTAAACCATATGAAACACATTAAAATCTTAACTGCTCCAATGGATAACCAGTTCACCATAAATCATGTAACTTACACAAAAAACAAGTCCATATTTTCATAATTCAAACATCCAGAACAATAACAATGTTATAATAAAAATTATACTACACAAATACTCTTATAATTACTAAAAAAATATAAAAAAATTAAATATATTTTTTATGAATAGAGTAGGGTAGGGTAGAAATACAGAAATTGATAAGTATTCCACATTCTGCCAGATTTAATCAGAAAATCAAAAACTCTTCTACATTTCTACCCAATTTTTACGGCTAGGCGTTCAATAGGACAGAGTAGGGTCGAGTAGAGTAGAAAATTACGGCCAATCAAAAATTTGGACACCCCTAATTGTAGGTCTCATAAAATTTTAAAATTTAATGTTAATTTAATTAATTTCAATAAAATTAAATCATTAAATTAATAAATTAAAATAAATTTTTTGATATAAATAACATTCTTCTATACAATTGAATACTAATAAAAAATGGTACTATTTGGACGTGATCTCACCTTATATATTTATTATTTATACGATTTAGATCCACAACCGCCATTGCAGCACCTTATAATAGGCTTCGGGCCTCAACAGGCCAGTTTGTGTGGCCTCTACCTCAATCCATCCCCTTTCAGGCATTTCATCGAGCACTTACAGATCTGTAACCAATCTAAAAACCTTTCTTGCTATCAGCAACAAGACACAATCCCACGTGGCACAAAGCTAGTCTCTCCAATTCCACGTGTCAAGAACCTACCTTCTCATGCCACCATAATCACAGTCCTCGCCGAGCTCTCCTCCTGACCTTCAAACCCTGAAAACGCATATCCAAAAATGCACCGTTTCAAACCCTCCCTCCAATTCTCCAAGAGCAATCAACACAGTAAACATAGGACCATCCACTTCACAGCCCGAAAACACGTTACTCAACAAACCCACCTCGAAAATGTTGGCCCCATGGCCTCTCTCCTCAAGACCCGATCAATCATCCGATTTAAAGGCCCGGACACTCTGAAATTTCTTCAGGGTCTGCTGACCAATGATGTACGGAGGTTCGGTGAAGCCCTGGGTGAGAAGACTTCGGCTTTGCCTATCCCTAATATGGCCTCCGTGTCGGTTCCGCCGATGTATGCAGCGTTGCTGACGCCTCAAGGCAGGTTTTTGTACGATATGTTTTTGTACAGGTTGCCTCGGGCTGATGAGAAGCTTGATAAGACGGGTTCTGGACCTGGGTCGGACCCAGACCCGGGAGATTTGGAGTTGTTTGCTGATGTGGATGGGTCTGTACTGGAGGAGCTCTTGGAGACCTTGAAGAAGTATGTTGGGTATTTCATTTTGTCATTTGTGTGTCTGCTATATCTGTTGATTTTAATATTTATTGCTTTTGTTTTGTAAAGACTGGTTTGCTATTGTATTCTGAGTTGTATGTAAGCTTAGACGGATCAGCTTTGTAGCTATACACACACAGACACCAAAAAAAAAAAACTATTATGGGGTTTCTTAGTTGATCTTCCCGTGTTAAACCCCAAAAGAGGGAGATATAATGAGAGGGAATACAATAGGTCAGTTTTTGTTCTTTGCACTTTCTGATAGATTTTGTGGGTGATATGGATATGAACTAAACAGAGATGGTCAAGGGTTGTAATTATAATATAATTAAATGCTTGTCCATTTTTTTTCCGGTGCTTTGCATTAAGGTAACTATAGGTTCCATTTTTTGCTATTGTTTTGAGCTTTGTGTTTTAGATAAGGTTCATACTGTTGTTTAGTCTATTTGTACTCATCAATTTGTGTTTTCAACTCCATGGACTGGTAAAGGAGGGAATGTTTCCCCAATGTGCTCACTTACTTGGATCAACTAAGATGCATTATGTTGTCAAGAAGGCATAAGGTTAAGAGTATAACTGACTCACACTATGCATGTAAAAATGTTAGTTGTAATTTCAATGCAAATTGGTTTTGGAGTGCATGTTGCGCAATTCCTGTTGTTCTATCATTGTTTGTTTGGCAGTCAGTCGGGGAACAATGAAACCTATTATTCAAATTTGCCTATGTTGTTGGTTTGGTGAGTTTAGTGATCATGGCTGGCTCACTAAGCTCACCCGATCTATCAGCTAAGTAGTAAGCATCCTTGGGGTAATCATCAATATCTCTTCCTATCCAAATGAGATTAGGAGGGCGCCTTTTTTAAAGAGCTAGCCTGTCTTCCAATAGATTGGCAATTTCCGTAGTCATTCTCTTATACAGTGGAATTTCTATAACAATGAGCCTCCAAGAAGGTCCTTTCTTTTAGACTATGAATTCGGGATGAAGATGGTCAATTTGGCAATCTCATCTGAGACTTCAAGCCTCCATCCAGGAAGAGAGAGATTAATCATCTGGCTTTGAGTCTTCCGAAGTGCAATGAAAGCCTTCTTTGTTCTATCCACCTTGCTTTGATTAAATCATAAGATATTTGATCCGAGGCTTCATTATCCTTCGCAAGGGGAAGCGCAGTGTGCCTGGTGCAAAGAGCTTTCTTTTTTCTTGATATACCAATCAGAATGGAGTGTCCTATCTATGTACATGATTGGTAGAATCGCTACCATGAAGGGGGGCGGTCAACTTGATGCGGGAGAGGCATGAGTGTTGTTCGATCTTGTGGTGTATTCGTTTGAAGTGAGTAGGGTCTCTTTCTCGTTGATCAGTTCGCCCCGGGGGTTGAGGATTGGTGATAAGGGTATAAGAGTTATTCTCCTAGCCCTTTGACTCCTTTCCAGAGAACCCAGAAGCGTTGCATTGCAGGCCGAGGTTTAGTTGTTTGCTGGGACTCTATCCCGATGCTAGTCTTAAATGTCAATTAGGGAGACCACCCAAACAAAACTCTAATTGCAAATTGCATACACCTGGTGAAGACCAACCAGTTCCCTACTGCTCGTACCTTGCAAGAAGGAAAGCATTGTGCCAACATCCTTGGCAACCTCGGGAACAGCAGCAGGACAGCTTTGTGGAGCTGTTAACTCCACCATATGAATTGTTATAAGCCATTTAGGGTTGACTTAATTTCTGTAGCTTTTGCAGGGGTGACTTAATAACTCCCATTTAACTTTTCGAAAGCACCAAAAATAAAAATTTCAATTGTCAAATTGGTATGGGGTGTAAAATTTAGAGTAGGATATTTCCATGTAATTTTGCAAGTGAATCCATATATGCCGGATGAGATGCTTTATTAAGGAATATACTGGCTAGTTTCATGCTACCTATTTCCTTCTTCTGATCCCCTTTTTCATGCATTTGCATAAATAGACTACTCTAAAATGCAATAAACTTGTGGACAAAATTACATACATTGGAGTTGTTTGATGTTACTGTTTCCTTTAGTTTTGCAACAAATTACAAGTAGACATTGTCATTTGGTGGGTCACTGTGAGAGGAAAAGAGATATGGTTGGGAAAAAAAAGTAGCCATGCGAAGTGGGATGAGTGGTGACCGGTGATTCCCTCTTCTCAATTGAAAAATCACTGTCTTCTACTTGGTGTGATGGACATTTCATTTCTTGCCATTAGAAGATTTCAAACAATAATTGATTACTGGTGTTAAAGACTATTGAATAGTGAAAATGAAATGGGATACCTTTCTTCCTTTAATTTAGGATCTATTGTTTAGCATTACCGAACCAGAATGCACCTGAAACCCCCAGTGACATCCTAACTGTTTAGTAATTGGTAATCAAATACTTCCCAAGCCTTTTTAAGCAGCCCTTATTTTGGAAGATCAATACGCTATTTTGCCAGTTGACATGGATTGTCATAAACAATCACAAGTTTTGTTAGTGCTTTTGACTAAGATTTCTTCACTGCTCAAAGAATTTCAAAACCGTTTTTTACTTTGTCCCATCCTCCTTTTGTTTGCTCTTGATAATATGGAAGATGATTTCATGACATTTTACGTGCAATTAGTCATATAACAAAGAGGAGCAATTTATAGAACAGTGACTGATTTGGCAATCATAATTTCAAAGAAATTGGGGGTATCATGCAACTTAAGGTATGGTAGGCAGCCGGTGGCTCCTCACCTAGGCTTTGCCCAGGACTTCTGATCTATAAAAGATTCTGTCTTTTATTTCTTCCTGTGTGATATTAAATGTGCATTATATTTTTGATAAGTGTTTTACTAGTTTTGTTTTGGCATGGCCACCGACAATGTTCGGGATAAAACTACTACTCTTTCATATAACAATTTTAGCTGTTAGGTATCTATTAAAGTTGTTTTCTACTTTGTTGTTCAGATTCCGGTTGAGGTCTAAGGTTGATATTGAGGATGTAGCAGAGGATTTCTCTTGTTGGCAGCGGTATGGTGGGAGCCTCCCTCAAAAGTCATCTTCTGCAGAAGAACCAGAGGCTGCTGCTGTTGGCTGGGGTGGTGCTATTGATCGTTCTGGCATGTCAGTTGCACAAGGAAATGATCTTGGATGGCAATGGTATAAGGATCCTAGATTAGATTGCCTTGGCTTCAGGGGGATCTTCCCATCCAATACAACGCGTGAGTTATAATTTTGGTTACTTCTGGGATCTTTAGGTGTTTAAGTTGGAAGAAATACTATGTAACCCAAATTTGCATCTCAAATGACGGGGAACCATTGGATGGGTGGGTCCCATCAATTTTTTTAAATGGGACCACTGATCCAATGATCCCCTTCATTTGGAATACAAATTTGGGTTACATAGCATTACTCGTTAAGTTGGCACTTGCATTAGAAACTTACAGCACTTTATAGGTCATCAGAAAAACTTTTTACAGGTGGTAAAATGTAACGATGTTTTAACGTCTCTCACAGCACCTTTGGTTGAGGCCGGCAAGGAAACTGATGAAAAAAACTACCTTCTATGGAGATTGGAGAAGGGAGTTGCCGAAGGCTCCACTGAGATCCCGAAAGGTGCATCTTGATTTACTTTATTGTTATTGCTACTCTGTATGTTTTTTAATGCAGAGGCTAAATTTTTAAAGCTTGTGTTCACTTTGTACAAAATTTGTAGTATGAATTTGATGGAAAACAATTATTTTTATTTTATGGATCTTTACTTGGAGAGGAACTTGTTTGTTATTTGGCAGTTGCTATGGCAGTGTAGCAATTTTTCCATATTGTCTTTACTTTGTTTTGTGATTTCGGGAACTTCTCTTTTGAAATACTTTTCCAGTGCTGGAACTTTATGTATTGCAAGAAACTTACTGTTGATTTAAAACAGTGATTCCCTGTTCCTTTCCATTCGTTTTTACTGGCTTTCAATGAAAACATAATTTGAAGTTTTTAACTTAATATCTGGGTTTGTTTAATCTTCTTAGGTGAGGCAGTTCCACTTGAATACAACCTTGCTGGTCTGAATGCAATAAGCTTTGACAAAGGGTGCTATGTTGGCCAAGAACTTATTGCTCGTACACATCACCGTGGAGTCATTCGAAAGCGTTTACTTCCTCTTAAGTTTCTAAATGATAGCAGAGAAGGTAAACTAAATTTCATTTGGTTGTCCATCATATTACTTATCTTGGTATATCTTACGTATTCCCTCTTCTGTTTATTTAGAGGTTGAAAACAGAGTAGCTCCTGGGTCAGATATAATCATAGCTGCGTCTGGCAAGAAGGCAGGTACTGTCATCACTGTACTTGGATGTCGAAGTCTGGGTCTTGTGCGTTTAGATGAGGCCTTCAAAGGGTCGGACACTTTGACCACACAAGGGGAAGATGTAAAAGTTGAGGCCATAAGGCCAGAATGGTGGCCTGCAGAGTGGTATCAAGAACATCAACAGCACAGTGCAGTTGCCTAGAGATTGTGTTATGCCACAAGTTGGTCTCGCGTATTTAAATGGTCCTGTAAGTATTGGCCCTTGTGCATCCAAACAGTTAAAAGAACTCGGAGAATTCTCATGAAAGTATCACTGGTGGCCTGGTGGGGTTCCCTGCTTAAAACAGTGTATACATGTAACAAAGTTTTTAAAGTTAAATGGCCATTTGTCAACGTCTGTAGCACTGTTTTGAGGAATTTTGTGATTCAGTAACTCTTTTCATGAATTTTTCGACTTTTGATTGATGGATAGTCACTTTTTTGATACTCTCAGATGAGAGAGAGGTGAGAAGCGAGAAGCAAGGCGGGAGTCAGCCTGGAATCTTTTTTGTTAATTTCCCATCTCTCTTATATAGTCTTTATGCATGTCTTATGAGGCAGCCCCCTGTGTGGAGCAATGGTGCTCAATAGTTTGCATTCACCGATTATGGAGCTTTAATTCATAGAACAAAATCGTGGCAATGCAGAACTAAGCGGTTATATCGGATCCTTGTGAACCATTACACGTACGAGCACCTGTCCTGTCGAGCATAGCCTAGAAAGTGACTCTGCGCAGACAGCTAACTTCTCTTGATCCAGTGGATGGGAATTCAGGCTGCTTCTGCTTGCGCTGGGTGATGATGGAATGTTTTGGAATGGAATTTTTCTACGAGGCCTAGAAAGGTTTAGATGTAAACAACTCGCCTTACAACTTCCCAGACCCTTGTCAAGAAGGCATATATAATGAATTTTCCATCTTGATGAATCTAAGATAATGATTCGAAATAGTTCATCTCATTGGCTTGTTCTGTCTATTAAATAGACGAAAGCAGAAGTATCATGAATCAAACAAAATGATCGCCACGCAGCCCTTCGACTGTAATAGAACAGACAACCACCTGGTCATTATTGATATCGACATTAATGCTGAAACAAATAACAAAAATCTTGTGTGTAACCATATCTATCAGTTTCTTAGTCGCCAGAGAAATTGACATATTCCCTACTCAAAGTCATTCGGAAAAGGCAACACCTAATCACAAAAGGCCACAAATACTCCCACCAGGAATTTTATACACCAGAAACTAAATCCACCCTTTCACATGATGCAAAAAAGACGAGTAAGAAAAGATCACAATTTCCCGAATTCTTCCTTCACTCAATCTGCAAACACCGGCCAGCCAAACAATCTTGTGAAGGGAAATAGCACAACCAAGTTTATGCAATGTGCTTGTCCTAAGCGAATAGATTATCAACAACCTCGCTTTAACACTTTCTAAAATTCCTCGCAACAACTACTCGATTAACAAAACAAATTCAGCTGAAAAATCAGTTTCACTTTCATACAGATCACTACACAGACAACTCAAATACCACTATAGATATACTCAACCATGAGGGCCACTGCTTATCAACTGCCCAAACCCCAAACCAAAACCACCAGAGAGAATCAACAGCACCTCAAACTCAGTTGGCAAAACTCCTATTAGCTCAAACGTTTATGGAAATCCACACAATTTGTCAAGCACTGTACTCAAGGTGATCATATTATAAGTTGTAGGATCATTAATTATGTGCCAGCAACGATATTCACTAGTTCTATGCAGTTTTTTCTTAGTTCCTGAACTCCTCAAGTTTCATTTAGTTTATTTATCTAATCAATCTTCATAGTACCCTTGAACAAATGTAAGAACAGCCACAGATTCCATACTTTTCAAACCCAGAGGTGGAATAGCTTGTAGAAAGATATAAGCAACTGGAAGCGAACTAGGACAACAATTTCGCACCACAATAATAGTTCTCTGCCGAGACAAATTTATCATCCCAGAGTTGAGGAGAACAGAAAGAAAACCATGGCAACACTCCTTAGTAAACCTATGGTAGAACACGGAACATATTAACTCCCACTTAGACTTCGGTTGCTTACAAAGCATTACCATTCCTGATACCACATTTTATCTCCATCCATGATTCTGCTCCTGAAAATATCCCAAAAGACTGAAGTCACACCTGTGACTAATTATATAAACTCTTAAGGTGTTGGTTAACCACAAGGCTATTTCTCTGATCTTTGGCAATCAACATGCAATCTCAAATTTAAAATGGGAACACAGTGAAATAGTGCAGACTAGATACAGCAACCTCTAAAGGCCCCTAAAGATGCAGCAAGATGTTTCTTCTCAACAATCCAAATTCATGTTTGAATCTCCTCAAAACTGATACCATGTAACACTGACCAATTTAGCCAGGGGCATTTCCTGGGCTCTAATTTCCACCCAATACTGTAGATATTGCCCACTAAGCCAACTGTAATCAGTAGACAGGCAAAAGTTGACAAAAAGCTTTAGACAACTGTTATACAGTATATTTTGCCCAAGAAAACTTCTGATTATACGGTATAAGCTAGCAATCCTCTCCCTTATAACACAACCAACAGACAAAAAAGCCTTAAAAAGGATAATCCCTCATGGTACCCAATGGACACCTGATGAAACCATCAAAGCTCAAACGAACTAGTTAATCTACCGAAGCAATCTAGAAAGCACAAAACAAGACTAACAAGTAGTTCCTGCCAAAAGATGTATCCAGAAGAAGCCTACCATTGAAGCTATTTAATCCTCTCCCCCGGTTTCATTCCGCATGTCCAGTGATACCATGTCAAAGTAGGGGATGCACTCTAATCAGTCAAGAGAGTCGAACAATCCCTGTCAATGACAGCTCAAACAATGTTTCTCTTTACCGAATAATAACACTTCGTAAGATCATGGTGGTCCTTTTGTTCAACATGCTAAGAAACAGATGAGAACAAGAAGAGCTGCCAATTGTCTCAGACTGCAGAAGCACACAGCATCCTATCACTTATAAGCTAAGCAAAAAAGTCTTACCAGAAACTAATGGAGATCAGCAACTGACGAGCTATGGAGCTAAATCTAGAGCTATAAAGTGGACCAACAACAGTGATTCAACTAGAGCCATGGTAATGACGACTACAAGAATCATCTTAGTGACATGTAATATCTAAAAATGAAAAAGAAAACCAAGTAAAAAGAATATGCAACATTTCCATTCACAAACTGGGTCCTACTTAATAAGAGCCAATCAGCCTAAAAGTGCTTTCCATGTTGAAAAGGCACTGAATCTACCCTAAACATAACCATTTTAACATATTTATTTCATCAAATCATTATCATCCTATGAGCACAAAATTTAAAACTAATTACTGAACAAATCCATTGGCATATAACATGAGCAATGCAATGAAAGTTAAGGAATATTGATTGTGATGCACAGGTATCTATGGATAACAGCAACAGAGAATGAGCTGTTGGATGCCAATTCTCATATAGATACACAGATCATATGAGATGAGAGCATAGAACATGAGCTTGTTTACTTCAAATTAACAATGTAAACCTCCCAAACAATACCATCATTTTCTCTGAAAATTGAATTTGATGCATTCAGGCAAGAATATAACTCAACACAGTAAAATTCAATGGCCCTGCAATGCGATTATTATAAAAGGAAGTCCAAAAATCCGCAAATGGTTGTAAGCTATCAGTCAAATACTGTACAATCCTACCCTACAAATAGAAAAATCTAAACAGAAACAGAGGTGTAACAAGGAGGCGGGGCTTGAATCACATCCTGCAAAAAAAGTAAAATCAAATAAAATAAAAATTGCAGGGCAACCAACAACTCTTACCAATCTTGCAGGATATAATTCCACCTTGTATGACATTATTGAGCTTACAAAGAGAAACCAAAATGGAAATTAATCACCACAAAGTGGTAAAATCATAGGCAATCAAATGTAGCAAGGTTAGAGTTTTTGTGCACCACCTTTTTCGGCAATTCACCAGGCACTCTTCTTCTTCTTCGAATCATAGTATTTGAGGTACCACTTGACGAACTTCTTCAATCCAGTCTCCAAATCAGTCGTGGGCTTGTACCCCAGCTCCTTCTGTGCCAAACTAATATTTGCATGTGTATACATCACATCCCCATTCCTCGGCATTGTCACCACCTTCTTTTTAGCCTTGACCTTCAAAAGCTTCTCTAATTTACTCACCAACTCACTCACCGGCACCGGACTGGTATTCCCCAAATTGTAAATCCTCAATTGAGCGGAACCCTTCCTTTTCCCACCACTCCCTGTACTCTTCTTCGCTGTATCTAACGCCCTCAAACAACCCTTCACCACATCATCAATGTAGGTAAAATCTCTAGCCACAGTGCCATGATCAGAACCCTCATATATCATTATCGGCTTCCCCTTCAAAATATCTCTCGTGAAAAAGAAATACGCCATGTCTGGCCTACCCCAAGGTCCATAAACCGTGAAAAACCTCAACCCAGTAATCGATAACCCATATATATGATTATACGCATGTGCGATTCCTTCATCAGCCTTCTTAGTAGCAGCATATAGACTTGCAGGCTGATCAGTCCGGTCTTTTTCCGAAAAGGGTACTTCAGAATTTAAACCGTAAACCGAACTAGACGAAGCCCAAATTATTGCAGGTTGGATTGTTGCTGATTTACAGACTTCAAGTAAATTCACAAACCCAGCAATATTGCTATGAATATACGAACTTGGGTTCTGCATTGCGTACCGTACACCGGCTTGGGCAGCCAAGTGCATCACGTGTGTGAAAGCCACAATATCAAAGAGCTTCCGAAGCAAAGCGCCATCGTTTATATCGCCTTCGACGATGAATACACCCGATTTCTCTAGAAGGGCCTTTCGGCCCTCTTTCAAGCCAATGTCGTAGTAAGCATTGAAATTATCGAGACCCACAACCCCGTCACCGCGGCGCTTCAGTGCGGCGGAGACGTGGAACCCAACGAATCCGGCGGCACCGGTGACGAGGACAGTACGGCGGGTTTTGGACACCGTTCGGGCCGAGATCCGGACCCGATGTTCCCATGTGGAGCCGCCCCAGGAAGTGGTTTGGAGGGCCCGGCGAGAGGGGTTAGGGGTGGTGGGTGGAGAGAAAAGGAAAAAGAGGAGAATGAGGATGAGGAAGAGAATGGACCAGAGGGTGAGTTTGGGTACCGAGAGTAAACGGAAGCGAAAGAGCGGTGAGTATTTGTCTGCTTTGAACTTTCCGGGAGTGGAGCGTATGGCATCAAGGTGAGAGAGAATTGGCTTCAACTGGGTCATCGTCATCTGCAATTTGACCATAACCCTAATCTCTGTGCAATCTGAACACTTGCTGGAGTCTCAGAATATTTGGGTTCTCTTTAAGTAAGTTGCGTAATGGGTCTGTGCGTGTTGTGTTACGGTGGCTGAGAAGGTTGAAGGTTTATAAGGTTGGGGATGGTGGACCTGGTCCTTGGTGGTGGCCTTCTGAAAAAGTGCAAATTATTATTTTTCTTTCAAATTTAATTTTGACGGACTTTTATTGCTGAGTTTTAAAAATATACTATATAATTCAAATGAAATTCAAAATTTAAAATTCAAATTCATATCATATTTTCAACGAGTGAGTACTACTAACAAAAATGATAGAACTCACTCATCTATAAGATAATATGTATTTAAATTATACTAATTTTTAATGTTTTATTTGGGTTATTATTGAATTTTAAAACCTGTGCAGATTAATGATACAATTTTTAGGTTTACCAACAAAAGATGATAGTAGTAACTATTAGCGGAGGTGATTAATGAGAGAGTGTTGGGTTTGGGTGGAGATGTATGATGTGTCAAGTGATAATTATGGGTGGCAGAATTGAAGGCTTGGATTGGGGGTAGTTGATCCTATAATTAATTGCTAAACTGCCTAGTAGGAGTATCTTTAATTACTAGTAAAATCGGTGGCATATAATTTGGGCATGTGTAGAGTTAATTAAGGCAGTAACTGTAATCATAAATGTGGTGAACATGCTTGGTCATTCAATTGATTGGGCAGTGAAGAGAAGTTGTTTCAAGTAAAATTGTTTCTAATATTTTTTAAAAAAACTTGGGTTGGTTTTATGGTTAAACAAGAGACAAAATGCTAACTTAGCATGTTTTGTATTCCAGTTCTTTTCACTACATAAAATTTGGATTTAACATTCGTAATTAATTTTACATGTGAATGTGTGTATTCCATATTTATATTATAATAATTATAAATCTAAAATATATGTGAGTAGAATGATTTATATTCGATAAATTAAATTAAAAAATAAGAAATAATATTGTTCTGTGTTTGGAGAAATTTATAATGATCTGACCTTAATTTTCTGGGGTAAATCTCATTTTGCCTCTAAAAGTTACAAAAAATTTCCAATTTGTCTCTGGCATGATTAATTTTTTTATATTACATTCTTAAAGAATAAAAAAAAGTTGCAATGTGATTTCGTCTTATTTTTGTTTGGTCATCCGTATATTTTGTGTCAAATTAACCAATTAAGAATCACAAAATAGACGGACGACTAAATAAAAATAAGACTGTGAACTACATTATAACAGTTTTTATTCTCTAATGGAGGTAATATGGGAAAAATAATCATTCGAGGGACACACTAATTTTTTTGTATTTTTCGGGGCAAAATGGAATACTTAAAGTGATAGGCAAAATACACTAGTTATTAGAATCTCACACGATTAAATGTAAATTTAAATATGTGTAAACGAAATCTTAACATTTTTTTTTTCTGACTCATAAATTCATAACAATTGATATGAGGGTACTAATGGAGTCAGAAAAATGTTTTAGGTTTGGCACTCTAATACATTTTATATTAATCGGTAAAAACAAGATGACATATTTATACTATTTATTTCATCAATGACTTAAAAAAATTCTATGCATATACATGTACAATAGAAAATAAATTAATTATAGTTTTTTATTAAAAATGAAGTTAGTTACAATTGATTCAACAAATTTTCATATTTTGATGGCGTTATCTGATGACTTCATTATTAATGACTAATAAAATTAATACAAAAATCTTAGATATGTAAAAGATACACCAAGTATTTTTTTTTTATTTAAAAATTTTGTGAGCAAGATTACAAATCGTTAAGTTTTAAACTCAACGTTAAAGTGCACATCAATAAGAAAGGGTCAAGTTGATCAAAAAATTTTAAAATGAACCCAACATGTCGAACTTAATTTGAATATGTCTCAAATGTGTGCACTATTAATTATTTAGATACGAGTATGTACTAATTAATATGATAAAAAAATAGAGTAATATTGTATAGAGACCTAATTTAATGTAGTCGTTGAATTAATTATGAATTGCAAGGTTAGATGAAATTCACTTTTAATTCAATGATTATATTAGATTAAGTCATTAAATTAAATTTTAATAATATTTTTTAAAAAAATAATAGGGTAAACATAATTAGATATACTTAAAAACAAAAAAAATTGAGAGTTGACTCCGCCACTGTATGAGTGCTAACCACGACATGGGGTATGAGATCGAAAGTAACATGAGTTGCAGCTTTTTATAGTCGACTGATGGAAGAGACAGCTTATAAATTGAATTAATTTAGATGTACGAAAATCTATTCTACTTGTGTTTGTTTTCCTTGTTAAGCTGAGTCCACGATTACAACGACAGTTGGCATTAGAAATATTGAAACAACACAGTTGGAATTCAGCAGATTTGTGCTAATTATATTAATAGACAACAACAAAGGAACGAATGGTGTTTGGTTTGTGTCTCAAAATTAATTTTTTGTTCTCAAAACATAAAATTTGGTGAGATGTTGATTGATTAGTATTTTTTAAAAACAAATTTTCAAAAAGAGTGAGAAATGAGAACAAAAAAATAGAAAACATATAAATAATTTTTTTTTAATTTTTAAGTCAAAATAGAAAATAAGGGAAACAACCCTCCTCTTTAATGATATCTACCTATTAAACTTCCTTAGCAGTAAAATATATATATTTTTTTCATTGAAGTATAAAAGTCTTTCACTTATGTTTTTTTTTTTTTCTCTCTCTCTCCCCAACGATCGCTATGTAACGAAGATCGGAACAATGAAGATTGCTGTTCTGTCATCGAAATTTTGCAAATCCAAAAGAAACACACACACACACACGATTTAGGTTCAAGAACTTTGATGATCTTCGACTTCTTCTCCATCCTTTCTAACGTCTTCTCCATCCTCTCCAGTGACTTTTTTTTTTTTTGCATCTGGGTTGTAAACACACACACACACAGATCTTCGACTTCTTCTGCGTCATCTCCAGCGGCTTTTTTTTTTGCATCTAGGTTGTAAACACACACACACACATCTCCCCCCGTCTTCTCCGTTCTCTATTTGTATGCTCAAATCTATGTCTTTTTTATTTTCCTTCTCTCTTTCTCTCTCTCGCAACAATTGAAGCTTTAAATCTATATATATACACAAATCCGTGTGTGTATGCGTCTATGTGTGTGTGTTGTGAAGACCGAGAGAGGGGAAAGAAAGATAGATATGGGAATTGTGTATTATTGTTCAAACAGATTTTATAATATTTTATTCTTTAAAACTATTTTCAAAAATATATAATCAAATAAATTTTACAATCTAAAATTTTAAAAAACACTTTCTTAAAATTTGTCTCAAAAATTATTTTTAGATATTATTTTTTGAAATGCAAACCAAACAAATCCTTAGCTCTTAAGAAATTGAGATCAAGTATGACTTATTGTTTTGTGTACCACGGGTGACTAGGCAAATCGAAACTTAAAGCGACAACATTAAATTAGGTTTTAATTTTTTATTATATTTTTTACTTATTTTTACAGAGAGAGAGAGAGAGAGGGTGGGAATAAATGTAAGTTAACTTTTGAGTTAATAATATACTTAAAATTATGAGATATTCTAAAAATGTGGAACCTAGAGTCAAACTTTTTTTTTTCTTCCTAATACTGTTCAGCCGCCCCTGTTGTGCTCTAGCTGACATAGAAAGACTCGAGGAGTTTATGAACTAGGAATTCTCTTAAATCTTAACTCTTAACATGGACCTAGTCAAGACAACATTGTTTTGTAATCAACTATTGACTCGGAGAACATTCAAATTCATTGGTGTCGCGTCACAAAACAGTATTGAAAGAAACACATGAATGGAATAATATAAAATAGAATAAATTTTAATAACAATCTCAAATAAATTATCATCAACATCTCTTTTAAAATTATTCATATTACACCGTATTTTCATATACAAATTACCCCTAATAATAACATGCATCGCCATGTCGCAAAACAAAATCAGAGATACAGTAGGAGGTAATGACAATGGCCGGCTTATAAGACTTGGCTGAATTAAACGAAATATTTTTGAACTAATTACGAATCAAGTAAGACTGTAACTTACACAAAAACACATAAAATGTTGTGGAGACTGAAAGTTTCTTCTAGAATATATTGAACAAAACCAAAAGGAGCCAATGAGATGGCGAATCCAGTTATACATACACCCCTAACCAAAGGGTGAACATTAAATAAGAATTAAACCGACATCGACTATATACCAAAATTATTACCGATCATCGCGTGTGATGTGCGAAATTTAAAAATTTTAGTTACATATATATTTATTTATCATATTTTCAAAGACATCTTTTTTATTTTTTGAATCTTCACTAATACCTCCTATCAGATTAAAGATTTTAATTACAATACATATTTATTAAATTACCCATGATATACTTAAAAAAAAACTCCATCCACACCCCTTTAGATATGCATATCTTCAATGAGACTCTCTTTGTTTTATAAATTTTTTTATGTATTAAAATTTTATTCGATTAAAATTCGATTCAACTAGATTAAAAACAAATTTTAATCAATTCGCATAGAATTTTAATTGGCCTGAATTTTGATAAGTTAAAAAATGTGAAATTTAATAGATTCAAATTTTGGTTAACTTAAATCGAATTTTTATTGACATGAATTTTAATAAGTAAAAAATATAAATTTTAATCGAATCAAATTTCGACCGGCGCTAACAGCTCAAGCTTGAGCTCAAATAGGCTCGTCACCCCTACGTCCAAAGCTTCAATTGATTCGATTCTTTGTCGCTGCTTTGATTTATTGCCCTCTCTATATTGACCATCTTAATTAACAGCCCATTTCCTGATTTGACGACGTAAACTCCAAGATGTAGCGATTGTGTTGGATTAAATTTTAAAAATTAAATTATAATTTAATACACCTTTATCAATCATAAAATGTCATAATCAATTAAGAAATTTTGACCATAAAACATTATAATTAATTACAAAACGTCAATTTAATTATAATTTCACTCTTAAAAATGATAAGTTGACATTCAA